CCCTGACATTCTAGGGTGGTATCCCTGCGGTCGATGTCTGCTTCGATAAGACGATACTGCACGGTGTGGTGCGTGATGAACGCTAAGCCACCACCATTATCTCGCTCGCGATCTCGACGGTGCACGTTGTACCCGGCACAATTCAACAAAGTTGAATTGCTGTGCAACTTCGTCTCTTGGACCGCAGCTATTAATATACCATGCCGACACATAAAGGCGGTTATCTCCTCAATCTTGCTCTGTAGCCCGTTACAGTTGAATTGGAGGAGCTTCATGTGGTTCGGGAGACGTGTTGTGATGTGGGGTGTGAGTGAGGTGTATGTTCTTGCCGCCGTTGGCTGTGTGTGCTGCTGGGGTGATTGTCTCCCTGTGGTGGTAGTGGGGGGCGTCGCAATTGATGTTAGCGACCGAGCAGCGCAACTCGGGCCCTCGAAGTTCCCCGTCCAATCTCGCGTGGTGCGCAGACCTGAACATGCCCTAAAGTGGCACCAGCCAAGGCAGGTGTTGCACTTCACTGATGTCACATTACGGAATATTCTGGTCTGACATACCGTGCAGATTGTGGTCTGACATACCGTGCTTGTTTGCTTGCTTTGTTTGCTCTTTTTATAAGAGTTACCTTATTGGTAAAGGTGTAATTGTTTACTCGGTTATGAAAAATTCATTGGGTAGGTTCAGAAGGCGCAGCAGTCGAGCACACCCGTTGCTAAAAAAAAAATCAGTGATCTGTATGCGTATTCTGAACTTCTTGATACATTAGCTGTCAAATTTAATTCTTAAAGGTACACACCAACATGTTGCCTCAAATGATCAGAAAAATAACACAACTGTTAAGTTGGTCAGAAGTACGCAACAACGCGTGCAGAAGATGCAATCGTAACAGTTACTGAGCTGTTCCGCCTTCTGAACGTGCCCACTGTTAAGGCTCTTACGTTCTATCATGTTTTGTTTTTTTTTTTCTATTGTGTAACATAATATTACACTACGACAAAAAAATAACCACCACATTCTATACATCAATCCCATGTAAAATTTTCCGCCGAATCCACATATGCCAATCCCTTATTATAAAAGCAGAATAGTTTTCGAAATATTTTGGAATTGCAGTTTTTTGAGCTTTAAAAAAGGTAAGGCTACTAAATTTTCAATATCTTCTCCTTACTGAATCGAATTTAAAGCTATTTTATTTTTAGCACATATAGAGAATTCACAGACTTTCCAGGAAAACAAAAATCGACTGAGCAGGGGCAGGCGTTACTATTTTTAAGCATTAAGTAACCTCGTTTTTAAATTAATTTTTTTAACACAATATAAAATAACCGCCCTTTTTGCAGCGTAGCTCGACAATGTTAAAAAGAGATATGTATAATGTACAAACCTGTACCAATTTACTTTTTTAGTAAAAACTTAAATTTGTGACATTTCAAGTATTTATTTGTTGATCTCTATCGTTTTCGATATTTAATTTTACATATTTAAATTCCCACTAAACATAATATCTACAGCTCGGCCAACCTGGTAATTGATCGGTCTCGATCATATAAAAATCGCCTAAGTGAACATGTAACTAACTAATAGTAACTAAAGTACTTCTCAGGAGCGGTAGTAGCTTCTCTACTGCTAGTGGAATTCGTTGGATAAAGCTTCACAAATTTGGTAAACTCATCAACTACGATTAAAATGTGCTTTCGTTTCGAATTGATAGACGGCAGTGGCCAAAGCGGTCGGTATGAAATGTGTGGAAAGAGGAGTCTTAGGAATTACGTACAAATTTCTCTCGCTAACTCGTGATGGGTTAGCGCACATTAGACTTTTCAAGGAGTTGCCAATAAACGATTCCACCCTTACTCTCATTTTGGGGAACCAATAATACAGAACTAGTTTCCCGATAGTGTTATCAACTGATTGATGGCCCATCTTTTCATGTAACGACCTTATAACATTGTATTCCATTTCGGCAGGAACATATAACATTTGATTTCCATTGGGCCTGCATCTACAAACTAAACCATGCACTAAGTAAAAGTTTTTCACTGGACCGTTTTTAAGGCGCTTCCGAAGAAGACTGATAGCCTCGTCATGTTCTGGAGCTATTTGAATCTGAAATTCAACTTCATCGGCATTGATGATATGTGTAATCTGCGTCCTACTTAAAGCATCGGCGCACCCCATAGAAGTCCCTTTCTTATGCTGTATCTTGTAATTATAATTCTCGAGTTCTAAGGCCCGTCTAGCTTTCAAGGGTCATCGCTAAAGAATTGCAATCAGTAATGATCTTAAATTGTATACCTTTCAAATAAGTTCTAAATCGTCTTAAGCATATATTACAGTTAGAGTTTTCAGTTCGAAACTATGATACCTAGATCCGGCGCTAGTCGCGGTTTTCGAAAATTATGAAATGTGATGAAATTTCTTATCGTCCTGTCGTTGCAGAAGAACGGCACCAAATCCGATCGTNCATAGTATCTCAGTCGTTGTCGTCAAGCTCAACTAACGGAAAACCATGCAGGCTCTATAGGGTCTGTCCATAGGGACAGATGCATGTAGCCAAAGCGAAGTTGGGCTATTGTGGTCCGAGTCTCCCGAGGCAGACGGTTGTGTGCCCAGAACGGCATTCACAGGTCTGGAGTCTACGTAACTTGAGACTGAGAGGTTGCTCTATGAACCTCTGGAATTC